TATATATATATTATTTTGTTAAAAATTCTACAGGGGCATGTGCCCCTACAGGCCTCTATTTAAATCTGCCGGTGTCTTCAAGAAGCCTTGGCTTGTAGGTCGCATGCTTTGCGGCCCGCTACGAGATTCAATCTCGTGAACACAATCAATTCTTAATTCAAATTTAACTGAAAAACACAAAAGACGAGGAGTCCATTAAATAAAGCTTCTAAAACTACTCTTAACTTGTCCAACAAGACAAGACATTTCTAACTACATATGCTATTACCAATAATAAGAATAATTATTCTTCTCTTAACAATTAAATGTTAAACAAGAAACTAATAATAGTAAAGGTAAATAGAAATAAATGTATGTCCTAAATGAAAGATGCTAGTTGATATCTCGTCTCCATCATTCTTCCCATGTCGAAAAAGATTGACCCCCGAATCCGACAGGTCACCACAGAAAGGCCCCAAGTAAGATCGATTTTGTCCTTTGGCTCGGAACAAAATCAAGTAACTTCTATGTAGCATCTCATTTTCCATATTTTTTGTAGTATAATGTTCACACTTACTGGAAAAAAACCAAGGAGTATCTGTCTCCCAGTAACCCACTGACTGTGCAATGTTTTTAAAAAGAGTGAAACTGCTTGTCAGGATCATATAAATTTTCTTCGTGCACCTCATCTGCCAAGAGAACAATCCATTATGTCCTGCAAAACTCCACAATTTGCATTTGGGTATCCTCGGCCAGAACCTGCCCTATGGGAGTGCCATGATTTACAACCACCTAGGACCTAACTTTAACATTCTTTGCTTTGGCATTTTCCAACTGTTTGTTAAGTTCGAAAATTTCAAGTTCCCATCCAGTAGCTTCATCAATAAAATAACAAACCAGCTGCACCTTCATATTGATATATAGTAAGTCGTCCTCAGTGCCCTTCAACCCCGGAGGCTTCTCATTGAAAATTGAAGGACCGTCATAAACCGGATAATCCAATTGGTTGCTCCAGTCTACAGCCGCCTACCGCCCAACTGTTGTGCCCACCGACAAGCCTGTCGCTGCCACTGACGCATTCGAGCTTGTGGCTGCCGGAATAAACACTAAATCTTGCTCACTTAAGAACTCTGGTCTGTAGAATCGAACATTGCCCATGCCCTCGTCGTCTCGGTGATCGTCGAGTCACCTGAAGCCGTCGTAATCCTATTGTCAATGTCGGAAGCCGAAAGGGTTGACCTCCGTCAGCGTCTCTCTGTCGCCGTCCTTGCTGTGCAACGGTGGTGGTGTGCGTTGTTAGGGCTCCCTTCCAGGCCCTTTTCTGCCACTCCCTCTGTCATAACCCCCGCGTACGCCCCGGCCGGCCAAGACGCGGTTTGTTTGCTCATCCCAAACCATGGTATAAGCGTTAGATGTATGTCCTCGATCTCCGCGGACATATCTGCTATCTGACGACCCATCGTCACGAGCCAGAGGCCACACCCCTCGATCTGATATGTAACACCCCACTTTGATTTTAAAGAAAATTCTAGACTTTCCAAAAATCAGTACAAATTTTTCGAGATCATTTTCGAAATATAATGGGTGTTAAACAACATTTTTTATAACCCAAGTCTTATCTGCGCCAACGGGGATTCATTACCCGGTTTTGACAAGGTTTTCATTAACCAAAGCATATCACGAGACATAATACTCAACATGAATATTCAAACCAAAACATCATAACCCAACAACAAGGGTTCCACAAGTTTTCCCAAAATCAAAACAAATCATACGTTTTGGAAAAAAAGGTTTTAATAAGTCTCAACATAAAAGGTCCAATCAACTTTATTTATTCTATCGGAAGCAAAATATGCATAATTAAATGACCGACCCACTCGCCTCTCCTCGTCATCCGACACCTGCTTAACCTGCATCCGTGAAGAGCAGGTGGGAGTGAGCACAAAATGAACGTAGTGCTCACTACTATGCACATAAATAACACATCTCGAATGGTATGGTCACAACATGAATATAAGATAATCACATTATGTCTCATCTCCTATCAAAATCACAACACCACATTACTCCTGTGCACATCTATCGCTAGCCGCAGAACGGGGATTCATTACCCGAAGGCGGGAGTACATGCCACGCTACGGACACGGCCTTCCATATGGGCTTACGTACCTCGCAAGGGCACAGCCATATCAGGACTTAAGGAGACTTGCCTCACGAGAGCAACCGTATTACATCGACGGGGACAACCGTACCGACGGCCGTAACAGCTCACATCGATAGGCTACATATTTCATATTCATACATAGATCATACCCACAAGTATAAACATTCATCATTCATGGCATAGACAATTTTAGATTAGAACCCACAAGTATAAACATTCATCATTCATGGCATAGACAATTTTAGATTAGAACCCACCTGGTACCGCAAAGGAAAATGGCACACAATTAGGAGTAGGCAGCAAGCACGGCTCGTCAAATACCTACAACAATTATATACTAAGATCAACACCTACTTGACCTTAGAGAACAATCACAAGCATACATTGGCCGAAATTGATTCAACCAAGTAGTTCGTGAAGTTCCGTGGACATTGGAACATTCGGGTCTAACACTTAGACTTGACCATTAATGCATATAAACACCACACATAGACTTAGCACGCAAAACAAAGTCAAACAGGTCAAAGGCACACACAAGGGTTCGAGAAAAATATAAAGAAGGCTTGGGTCGGGC